CAGTCCTACCTCCGTGGTCTAGAACAAGGTCACCAGAGCAGAACAGCTGTTCCACAAAGGGCCGTGAACCTGCGCCTCTGTCTGTGTCCCAGGCAGTTTCAGTGCCCCAGCCTGTGCTCTGTCTGTACCCGGAGGCAGTTTAATTGCACCCCACCCAGCCTGTGCTCTGTGGGCTGCTCTGCCCAGGATGTTTCCTCCCATACCTGGGGTGCACTGTTCAGAGGGCAGGGCAGAGTCTGCTAGATTGGTTCAGCAGCTTTCTCTTTCTAATGGTGGAAGGAGCTGGAGAAGGTGGATTCTTTGGGCTGGAGCCCCAGGGCCTGGTCTCCACAGATGTCCCTTCAGCCGAGGTCAGGCTCTGCTTCTCCACTTCCTGGGAGCCACCAGCCTCTGCACAGGAGGAGCTCTGGCACCCATTCTTGGCTCCTGCAGCAGGGTTTGGGGCTCTGAGCAGCTGACCCCAAGTGCAAACTCTGAGTGCAGATTCGGGGTCTGCTGGGGCCCCTGAAGCTTCTCTGACTCTGTGCTTAGAGACACTCCAGAAGCCCAGTCCTTTCAAAGCAGGTCAGTTGGTTTTGAGGACACCCGTGGGTCAAGAGGACAAAACAGGGAGCAGCCTGCTGTGTGTGAGGAGGAGGCTGAGAATGAGGGGAGGCTGGGGTTGGCGTGGTGGCACTGGGTACTAGTGTGGCTCCTGGAAGCCCGGGAGAACCTCCAGGGGCATCCTTTCCCGGGAGACAGCAGTCTTCCATGGAGAGGGAAGAAGAGGACTCGCCTGTGAGTCAGGTTGACTGGGCCCTGGCTGTGTGCAGGGCGGTGTCCTTGGTCTGAGCAGGAAAGGGGGGACACGGGATTGAAAGGAAGGTGAATTCAACCAGCAGTCAGGAGCAGGGCAGGGTGCCTGTGATGGGAGCCACAGGCCCCCGGGAGGGTGTAGTGCGTCTGATGTCATTCAGTGGTCTCTGTTCGCAGTCAGGGCAATGACATCATGAGCAGGAGCCAGCATGTCCTTCATGGTGGGGTGGGGGACTGGGTCTGGGCCTCTGTCCTGAGGAGTCAGCGTGTGTGTGTGTGTGTGTGTGTGTGTGTGTGTGCGAACAATGGAGGTGGAGGGATGGTCCCTCCCATGGGCCCCAGGTGCTGAGGAAGGAAGGGCCTGGTTTTCTGGGCAGTGGGCCTGTGTTGTGGGTGTTGTAGGGGTGGGAAGGGAAGGAGTGGTTTTTCCCAGGCAAACCTAGATGTTCTCTAGGCGCACAGAGGCCTTCAAAGGGGCAGGGAGGGGTCCAGGCTCAGTCCTCTCTGGTATCAGGGTTTGCCGGGCCCTCACCTCCTTAGCAGAATGAGTCAGGAGTGAAGGCTGTGTTCCTGCCTGGTCTGCCGCCAGCCCTGCGCCCTGCTGGGCCCTCTGAGGCCGGAGAGCTCCCCCTGCTGGCCTTCGCCCACCTCCTGCCCTGCGTCTCCTCAGCCCGAGGAAATGGAGGATGGCCCCAGCTGCTCTGTGCTCCACCTTGCTTCCCTGCTGCTCCTCACCCAGCTACTCGCGTGGGGTTCTGCAGGTGCGTGTGCCCCCAGCTCTCTTCCTGTGTTGCTCTCAGGTTGGTGGGGCCCAGGTCCCCAAAGACTCTCCCCATCAGGAACGGTGGCTGTTGCTGGAGGCCCTCCTCTCGAGGTGATGATGCTCCCCAACCACCAGTTGCTGTTAAACCTTTAAAACAGTCACCAAAGCATAAAATAAGCATGACACCTGAATGATGGTTCACTGAGGAGTGTGTGATGTTGTAAAAGCAGCTTCAAAAATGGGAAAATATCTCTCCCCTTTGTTTTCTGGCTTTATTGGTGTCCCAAGCACTTATTCATGCATTCATTCCATTCCAAGACTAGTTACAGTGTGTCTCCTGTGTGTCAGCTGCCATTCTCTGAGCAAAACAGACAGACTCCCCATCTTCACATAGCTTACTTTCCAGCAGGAGGTCGTGGCTATCGAATGCAACTAAGCAGTGAGATGTGGTGTGTTAGAGATGGGAGGATGCACACTGCAGTAGAGCAGGGAGGGAGCGAGGGCTGGGGGAGGTGGGCCTGGTCAGTGTGGACAGTGGGATGGACAAAGTTGGAGGAGGTGGGCCAGTGAGCAGTTAGGATCCTGACAGAAAGAGGGAACAACCAGTGGGAAGCTGCCAGTGTGCTGGCAGTTCAAGGAGCAGAAGAAACAGGTGTGGGCTGGAGCAGAGTGAGCCTGAGGGGGAAGCAGGAGCTGGGGTCAGAGAGCTTCTGGTGGTCGTTCCTATTGATCCTGTGGCCACTGGGGAAAGTGGGGAGCATCGCTGGGTTCTGAGCAGAGTAGGAACATGGCTTCACTTCCAAGTGAAAGGGTCAGAGACATGGGGGCGGGGAGAGAACAGCCAGGGAGACTAGTCACCTGGGCCTTCCAGTGGGAGATGATGGTGGCTCAGGCTGAGGTCCAGCAGCACAGGTGAGAAGTCTCTGTTTGGATGTCCAGTGGGGCTGGTGCTGCAGGAGGGCATGTCACAGCCTGTCCACAGGCCTCAGAAGGCCCAGGGTTCTTCGGGGTGGCAGTGGGGGAACCGTTTTTAACAAGCAGTGTTTTGGGAGCCTTGTGAGTGATGGGAATGACACAGGTTTTTAACGGAAGTAGCATTTGCATATAATTTTTCGTTCCCACGTAAGTCAGCAGAAGAGAAAGACAGGGGCAGATAGATCAGGGTGGGAGGGGGGAGTTCTAAGGCATGGCTGAGTGATCAAGAGTTTGGACCTGGGACACAGGTGTGCACTTTGGTCAGTTTCCAGTCCTGTCCTCAGAGGGGCCGGGTAGAGCTGTGCTTCTCAAAGTGTGTCCTGTGAGTCAGTGTCAGCTTCCCAGGGAACTCCTTAGACATGCACATTCTTGGGCCCCAGAGGTACTGGCTCAGAAGCTCTGGAGGTGGGCCCAACGGTCTGTGTTTTACAAGCCCTCCTGGTGATTCCGAGGCCCCCGAAGTCCAGAACCACCTCTGTGGAGTCCTTCACAAAAGGGTGTGGGACAGGAGCAGAGGTGGGTAAGGGAGTGGACTGGACATAATTTCTGGGTCACAAAACTGTGGTAGGAAGATCTTGCCCTGATTCAGAGTGGTTATACCTGCTGACATGGGCCTGGGCCTGCCCCCTGAGCGAGTGTTCCCTGCCCCCAGTCTGTGAATCTCTGTCTCCCTCACTCTTGTCTGTGTCTACAGAGGAGTTCTTGGTCATCGGTCCCTCAGACCCCATTGTGGCCGTGCTGGGCGGGGACATCACACTGCCCTGTCGTGTGGCCCCGGCTATGAATGTAGAGACCATGGAGCTGCGCTGGTTCCGCTCCAAGTTCTCTGAAGCCGTGCTCATCTATGAGAACGGCTGGGAGCAGAAGGAAGAGCTGATGGCACAGTACGCAGGGCGGACCTCGCTGGAGAAGGAACTCCTCAACCTGGGGCAGGCTGCTGTGCGCATCCACAAGGTCCAGGCTTCTGATGACGGGCTATATTCCTGCTTCTTCAGAAAGGGAGGCTTCTATGAAGAGGCCAGTTTGGAGCTAAAGGTGGCAGGTTGGTGACTTGATCTCTACCCTAGAGCCCTGGAGTGCTGGAGTTGGGAGGAAACTCAAGGACCATGCAATTCAGCTCCTCACTTTATAAGAGGAAAGGGAGGCTCATTCACTCACTCACTTATTTACTAAAAATATATAGAACCCCTACTGTGCACCAGCCCTGCTCTGGGCACCTGAGATACACCAGTGAACCAGAGATCCATGCCCTGTGGAGTTATATTCTAGAGACAACATGTAAATACACGGGTAAGTAGGTTACAGAGGATGGTAGGAAGTGTTTGGTACTTAGGATAAGAGGCCAAGTAGAACAGGAGAGGGGCCAGGATGTGGGTGGGGGAGGGAAGCCAGGCTTCACTGTCATAGGGGCTCAGATGGGGTCTTATGGGCAGTCTGAGCAGAAGTTCAAAGTAAGTAGGGATGTAGCCAAGTGGCTCTCAGAGGCATGAGAGTGCTAGGCAGAGGGGACACCCCACGAGAAACCCGATCTGGGAGTGTGGCTGGTGTGCTCTGGGCACCATCGGAGGCCATCGTGGTTTGTCTGTAAGATGAGTGAATGGGAGGGTGGTAAGAGGTGACATTACTGGAAAAAGATGTTCCTGGTGTAGGGTGGGAATGATGAACACTGCCTGCTGCAGTCAGGAAAATTCACAGGGAGTACCTGCTTGAGCAGGCACTGAGGGCGCCAGCCAAGGTCAGGGTCCCACAAATTGATTCGAGCGGACGGATGGGGATGTGAGGAGGCAGGTGATGGTGGTGTGAGCAGTTGGCAACAGTCCTTGTGGATGGAGTGTGTGGCCTGAGGGGCACAGGAGGTGGGAGCTGGGGGTCAGTGGAGAGGGAAGTTGGAGGGAAGCAGCTGCCAGGTCATGGAGCGCGTGTGCTGGGTGTGGAGGTGGAGGCACTGCTGAGGAAAGTGCACGGAGCAGTGGTGGGAATGGTCCCTTTGGCAGCTGTGAGGATGGATGGAAGGTGAACAAGTCTGGGTCATGGATGGATACAGTTACAAGGTGGGGAGGGTGACCCCCTGAGTTCCCGGAGTGGCACTGGGGCAGGCAGAAAGGATCAGACATCCTGAGGCTTACAAAGTAGGCCCAACTGAGTGAGTAGGTTTGGGGACACAGACCATTTGCAGGGAGAAGAGAGACTGCACAGGGTGCTGCTTTGGCTAGTAGAGAAAGAAAGCGCTTTTGTCACTGAGTAAGCATTAACCCCGATATGACCCAGGTCACAGGCAATCCATCTGCTAGCATAGCCAAGCAGATTCAACACACTGCATACCTGTGCTCAAGACAAGCAATCACTCGTCCTCAGGAAAGAACGTGAGAGCACCATTAGGCGCACCTAGTTCACCCTAATTTTACCTGTTAACTGGGTGACCGTCTATGTCAGCTAACGGGAGGAAAAGCTACCTGTGCTATCCACTTTGAGGTTAACATTTCAGAGTGGGCTTTACCTCCTCCCTCCCGCAGGTGTGGGCTCTGCCCCTCAAGTGCGCATCACAGGGCCAGATGGGGATGGGGTCCGCGTGGTGTGCACGGCCACAGGGTGGTTCCCGAAGCCCCAGGTGCTGTGGAGAGACCTCAGTGGAGAGAAGCTCCTGGCATTCTCCGAGGCCCATGCCCAAGACTCCGAAGGGCTGTTCAGCGTGGAGGCCGCTCTGGTGGTGAGAGACCGCTCTGCGGGCAATGTGACCTGCTCTGTCCTCAACCCCATCCTGGGCCAGGAGAAGGCCATGGCCATTTTCATCCCAGGTCAGAGCTGCTCCTCGCTCCCCGCAGAGCTGGAGGGAGGGTGGGAGCCTGAGTGTGCTGGGCTGGGCTGCCCTGAGCTGTGCCCCTGACGGGCCCTCTGGCTGGGCGCAGAGCCCTTCTTCCCCCAGGCTTCTCCCTGGAAGCTGCCTTTCCTGGTGAGCCTGACTGTGCTGGGGCTCCTCCTCCTGGGGGCGACCTGTTACACCCAGAGAGAACATTCCACAAAGCTGCAGCAGTTCAGAGAAAAGGAGATTCTGTTTCAGGCTAAGGAGGAGGACAGGCAGACAATGGAGGAGGCGCTGAAGGCCACAGGTAAGGCAGGACAGGGCCCAAGGCTGGGGGTGTGGCAGCCAGTGCTGAGAGGGACAGGCCGGGAAGTGCCCGAGTCGAAGCTCCAGCTCTCCAGGGAGACCCAGGACCCTCAGCCCGAGCAGGTGGCTGCAGAAACCCGGAGGGGGCAGCTGGTGTCTAGGGCGGGCCTAGAGCTGGAACTTCTAGGACACAGAGAGGGTCTCTGCCGTGGGGTCTCTGGGCATTGTCTTTCCTTTCCTTAGGGATGGCAGTTCATGCTCTTCCTTTCTCTTTCAGGTGAACTCCAGGCAGAACTGGGTAAGTTCTGCTTTTCCTCCCCACCTCTCTGTCCCCTTCGTGCGCGAGATCTCCCTTTCTTAGCTCACCTGTTTCCTGTGTTTTCTTTCAGAATGGAGGAAGAGCGTTTACCTGGCTGGTGAGTGACACCCCATGTGTCCTTGGTTCTCCTGTCCCACCTGTACCCAGGTGTCCCTCTCCTGGTTTCTGTCTAGGCACACACAAGTGGACTCCGTTCTTTTTCTTTCTTTCTTTTTAGAGTGGTTGGAAGTGAGGGGAGAGAGAGAGGAGAGAGAGGAACATTGATGTGAGAGAGACACATCAATTGGTTGCCCCCGTGCATGCCCTGACTGGGACCAGGGACGGGGCCAGCAACCGAGGCACATGCCCTTGGCCGGAATGGAACCTGCAGCATCTTAGGTCTCAGGACTGATGCTCTAACCACTGAGACAAACCTGGCAGGGCATAGATCCCTTTCCTTGGGGCAGAAGTGGGAGCTGGTGGGAGGCAGAATCCTGCTCCATGGGCTCTCCTGACCAGGTCTGCTGTGTCCCACCCAGTGCTTGGGAACCGGGTGTGATGAGGTCCCTGGAGTCTGCCATGCATCCTGGGTCTCATTCCAACCCTGACCATCCACCGTATTGCTAGTTTCCTAGCCTTCAATGCAGGTAGCTCTTGGTCAGCACCCGGAAAGGTGCCACATGAATAAATGGGGTCCTCAAGTTTAGGATTGTGACCTCATGCCCTCCCCCAAAACACCGTCAGAGAGGTCTGTTCTGTCCAGTTCCTGAAGGTGCTGATCAAAAAGTCATGAGTGAACCCTGGTGGGTGTTTCTCAGTGGTTAGAGCATTGGCCCACACCCCTAAAGGTCTTGGGTGCCATTCCCTGTTAAGGGCAGGTACCTGGGTTGCAGGTTTGATCCCTGGCCCCAGTCCAGGCACATGTGGGAGGCAACCAATTGATATGTCTCTCTCCCATCGACGTTTCTCTCTCTCTCCTCCCTCCCTCCCTTCCACTTTCTCTAAAAATCTGGAAAAAATATTCTCGGTGAGGATTAACTTAAAAAAAAAAGTCATGGGGGAGGACTGGGCTGTCCCCACACGGGAATGTGGGGATGGGCCGTCAATGCCCCAGAACAGTGTTGTTTATCTTTAGAAATAACTTATAGGAGAAAGATTGGCCACTTTTACCCCAGGGCTCACCTCACATCCCTGTCCTTAAGCTAATCCCTATGTTGAGTTATTTTCCAACTAATCTTTGCCAGAAAAAGATTGCATTGGATATAAAAGTGCTTTCTTACAATAATGGAGCAACTTAACTTTTATTTCCTAAAATATTTTGACACATAGCTGCTTTTTCATCCTGAGTAGCAACAGCGAGCAGCAAGTGACATGGGAGTTTTTGAGGCTGTTTCAGCTCAGAAGAGCTAAGTGACTTGGCAGAAGCCACCCAGCAGCAACTGGCCAGGGTGGGACTGCGCCTATAATGCAGGCTTCCTGACCTGGGGTGCTTCCCTCACTCCCTGCTGGGTGGAGGTCGCGGGGGCCATCTGCTCTGCAGCTCTCCCCTGTAGATAGTCTCACCTGTAGGACGGGGAGGGCAGATTCACGCTATGCAGGCTGCTGTGGCTGAGGTCTCACCAGGGTGTGTTCCCTTTCAGCCTGGAGGAAGGCCCAGCTGTATGCAGGTAAGGGGCTCAGTTTCCTGTGGCTTCACCTCCAGCCTCGACCCTGCCCCTTCTCTGTCAGTGGACCCCACACCAGGGTGGGCTGGGCGTCCCTGCCCTCCTTGTCACTTTTGTAGCCTCCATCTGAGCGGTGCGGGGACTCCTTGGGAACACAGATCTGCCTCCATTCTGGGCCCACCCTCTACTGCAGGTCACCCTGAGGGTTAGCAATCCATTCTGAACACACCCTGTTCTCCTGTGCTCCTCGGTGCAGTGACAGAGGAGAGGTCGGTTGTGAGGAGCAACGGCAGGCGGGTCACGCCATGTAGATCTGCAATTTCTCTCTATAGATTTCAGAAATCCTGCTTGCCTGGGTAGGACTCAGGTCTTCCTAAGGGGTCCTTGGTTTTGGATCCTTCTACCCTGAAATTCCTGCCCTTCCTGGATCTAGTTTTGTTTTTCCATTTCTTCCTGGTCCTCTGAGATATTGGTCTTCTCTGCTTCCTAGTGCTCTGAGCCCCATCTAAGCTGGGTTTCTCCTTCCAGGCCTCCTTGGCTGCTGAGGAGTTAGCTGCTTTAGAGCAGGTGTTCCCGATCTGGGTCCAGAACCTGCAGGATGTTCATGGTGCGGTCTGTGAAAGAGCTAAAATTCTGTGCAAAATTCTGTGTATGTTTGTGTAACAGGAGCAAAGCCACCACTTACAATTGTTGGCACCCATTACTTCTGGTTGAATTTGTAGGAGAATTTGTATTTGCCTGAGGCACTTGGCCCTGGTCAAATTTGTTAGGGTGCTGTGTGAAGATTGCCAAAGGAGAACTGTACTGGAGTTAAAACTGTTTACTAGAGAAAGGGTGGGGAGCGAGCCAGGAAGAGAAGACTCTGTGGATGAGAGAGGAGATGAGAAGGAAGTGGGATGCCCGAGATTCACCTTGTAGGGATTTGGGGTGGCTCAGAGTGCTGGAAGAGAGGCCACAGGTCACTGCAATTGTGGTTTGAGTTGGGGAGTCCACATGGGGTTTGCAAGTTATCTGGGTGCATGAAATGTAATCATCTCCCTGATAGATTTCAGTAAAGAGATGCTTATTTTTAGGCCATTTTGAAGTCGCCATCTAATTGAGTTTCCTCTGCTGGTGAGACCATCTCAACCTTCCTTTGGCAGTCAGGGCAGGAGTGTGGTATGGGGGATCCCAAGGGCATGAAGGGTGGTCCAGAGGACCCTTCAGCATGGGGGGAGTTAAGGATGTGTGCCCTCCAAGCCTGGGTAACATGCCCTCCTGTGCTCCAGATGTTTCTGTTTATGGTCAGGGATACTGACTGAGAGAAAGAGAGAGGCAAGCCCTGGGGTGATGGAGGCCTGTGGACCAGATGCGTGAGGAACGAACCCTCCTTAGAGAGTCTTACCGATTCTCCCCAGGATTCATGTCTATAGAGTGATGGCCATCTCTCCCTTACCTGCGGCATTAAAGTGAATGTTTTTAATATATACCTTGTATTCCTTTTATTTTTTGAAGATAAGCACCATTACATTAGAATCAACGTTAAAGTTCATTTTCCTCAAAGGGTCACACGGGTCAGCTCATTTTATGTGATTTTATTTCCTTGAAGCAAGTCGACAGAGATAGAAATACAGTTTCTCTGAATCAACCTATATAGGTGTGGCTGGTAGCCACACACACCCCAAATGTGCAAGGAAAGTGTCATTTTCTTATTCCTGTGTTTTAGTCTTGTTCCCGAGTGTCTATCCTGTTGGAGGCTGCGGCAGTCCACCACGGCCGACTTTTCAGGGTCTCATGACAAGCTTTGCTGTGGTCAGTGAGCTTCCTTTGTTCTTCCCAGAAGGGAGTATAGAGGTTGGAGGAGGTAGTGTGGCCTTGGGCCTGTGGGGAAAGGTGTCCCTGTGTGCTCTGTGTAGTCATTTTGGGTGCACCCTTGGGAGGCTAGCCTGATATGGTCCTTAGGATCCTTAGTTGAGGTCTGCTTAGGAGGGGCAGTTCCCATCTAGCTGTTTGGGGAACTTTTGGGTCTCCCCTGCCCTGGCCCCATCTCCTGGTCTGGATCATGTCTGTAAAGTTCCCTTTGCCATATCATGTTTGCATGTTCGGGGTATAGGACATGGCATCTTTGGGGGGGCCCACCACAGCAGGGTTTCCCCTGGAAGCTTCCAATCTCTCTGAGCAATTGTAGGGGGAAGCAGATGACAGAGCCAATATTTTTGGGTTCTTCTTTCTATATAGGGGTTACTTTTGCTGCCATTACCCATGAGAAGGGGCAAAAATTTTTACTAGTGTTTGTCTTCTCACTGGATGCATGTCTCCCCGCCTTGAACCTCTGCCCCTTCCTAGAAACCCCTCCATTGCCTCCTGACTGGGCAAAACTTCTCTGGTGCTGTATCCCCAGTTCTCTTCACTCACGGCTGTAGTCTTCTTCCGAGTTAAGCCCAGCCAAGTTATGTCCTCTCTACCCATGGCTTAGGGGCAACCTGCAAGCTCAGCTCAATCCGGTTTTCACCTGTAAATGGACATTTTGATCTCCCCAATTCTTTTGTAGAAAACCTAGCTTTCAGGATGGTTGTGTGGCATGGGACCTGAGAAAGCAGCTTTGGTATGCGTGTCTGGGCCCTTCTGTTCAGTCGGTCTCCAGACTCTCAAGCCACGAGTATCAAGTTTTATGGCTTAACTTTCATGGGAAGGTGCAGCATGATGGCTCCATGTGCATGTGTGTATGTGTGCGTGCATGCCTGTGCGCACGCACGTGTGCATATATGTATGCACACGTGTACATGCATGCATGCGTGTGTGTCTGTATGCATGTGTGTGTGTATCAAAAAGAAATAAATGCATCAGCTGGATGTTTCCAAAAACAGTTTCCCCTGTAAGTCCTGCATCAATATGTTTCAGAAATCTAGGAGCAGATCCTGATGTGAGAAGTCTCTGGGAATCCCTGACACGAAACATGTTTTTTTTGCAGATTGGCGGCAGGAGAAGTTCCAGGCCTGTGAGTGAGTGTGTTCTTTCTGGGTGCTCCTCTAGCTGCTCCATGACTTCTGGCCTCTCCTGCAGTTCTCAGCTGTGGTTCAGACGCTGCCAACATCAGTGGTGGAGGGCTGGGTGGCGGAGGTGATAGATAGCACAGAGCTAGGGCTGATACTGGATGTTAAGTAGGTATCCCTCCCCCTCAGAGTCTAGGCTGGTCCTCAAGGCCGCTGTGACATATCTAACCCCAATAAATCCTATGGCTCTTTCTCCTGCTTGGAGGGCCATGGGCTCGAGTCACAGGCTCTCCTCTCAGGAGGCTTAGCCCTCCTCACTATGCAGCTAAGTGCCGCGGGAAGGGGTGGTGGTGTGCCCTTGTTGTGCAGCAGGGGAGGGCCTTGCATGATTGGTACCTCTCTCTGCAGGGTCTGTCACTCTGGATCCAGGTTCTGCCAATTCCAGCCTTGTCATCTCTCATGAAAACACGAGAGTGACCTTGAAGGACGCCTCTGAGGATTCAAGTGCCCTCAGCAGCGTGCTGGGCGTTGAGGGCATCACATCAGGGCGCTGTCACTGGGAGGTGGAGGTCCAGGATGGAGACAAATGCGAGTGGGTTCTGGGGGTCTGCAGGGAAGATGTGAAAAGGACAGGCTGGTACAGAGAGTACCCAGATAAGGGATTCTGGGCTGTGGGGAAGTTTGAAAGTGGATATGTTGCCTGCAGTCTCCCTCAGACTTCTTTATCTCCAAGGCAGCCTCCCCAGAGGGTGGGGGTGTTCCTGGACTACGACACAGGGGACATCTCCTTCTACAACATGACTGATGGCTCCCACATGTTCTCCTTCCCTCCTGCTTCTTTCTCTGGGACTCTCTTTCCATACTTCAGGTTGAAGTCAGGAGTTGTGTCCTTGACCCTCTGCCCCATGGCGGGTGGGCCCAAGGGGCTCCCTGGGCCCTTTGACAGTTCTCCTCTGGAGGAGCCTGTGAGCCCCCCAGGCTCTAGTGTAGATGGGGCTGAATCTCCACTTCTCCCCTGCGGCATGGAGGCCGTGCCCCACCACTGTCCCTGACCCCTCCCTGAGGCTCTTTCTGCAGCTGCAGACTCCCTGTGGCAAAGCCTCTGAGGGAATCCTTGAATGCCGACTCTTACCCTCATGCTCTACACGCATACTCTGGGGTATGAGGTTGTGAGAAGAGTCAGTTCCTGCCCCTGCTCAGGCAGCAAGTGACAGAAGTTGACTGAGCTGGTTGGGATAGGCTGTATTTTGATATGAGAAGTTGTTTTTCTTTTGGTAATGAAAAGTATTTCATGGTCCCTTTATACTGTTTGAATATGAAGGGGTTTAGGGGCTGAATTATTCTGCAGAATTAAATGGAGTTTCCTTTATCCAACTTGAGTTTGTGCAGAAGAACCCAGAGGCTGAGGGTAGTCCCAGATCTATTTTGGGGGCTCTTTACTCTCTGACCGGAAAACTTGGCCATCCAAAAATTTCCAGGGAAATGGATGGCTGTGGACTTTAAGAGGAGAGGAGTCCAATGTTCCATTCTCTATATTTCCTGCTCTGGGATGGATGGAACAGTTGTTTTTCCAACCTCAGTAAGTTTCTGTTACTTGGGAAAACCTGTGCTGTGTTAATTTAGGGAATCAAGGAGAAGCACCTGGGCTCCCCATTAGTGTGGCAGCACCAGGTGAAAAGGAGAGAGCTCTGCCAGGATTAAGATGCGAATGAAGAAGAGAAGTTTTAGAAGCAGGATGAATATCAGAAAGCTTTGACCGTGAGCATGTCCCATCATCAGTGTTGTCGCCTCTTAGTGCTGCCAGGTCCAATGGTAAAGTTAGTGGAAAACCACAGCAAAGAAAAGGAAGCAGGGCCATGGAGGACTCAGACCTACAGGATGAAGGTGCGTTCACTCTACGAGGCAGAGAGCTCTGACTTGCTGTGGTTCTCACTGAAGGTGGAAGACTCGGAGTGGGAAGTGGAAGAAAGAAGTCTGACCTGAGACCAAGGGCAGAAGCAAGGAGTGAAGGAAAAGCCTTGCATGCTTTCTCTTCCTTGTTGTGTGTGTATGTTTACTTGTATATATTAACCGTTTTCTTCCTCGCTCTCCTTACCCTTTTGGTTTTATGTAAGTTGTTGGGGGTTATGTTTAGTATAGTCTTTAGGTAACAGTGGGGATGTGAATTTCAGGAAATTTGTACTATAAATATAGCAGTGGTGATTGATACAATGACTGGGACTTGCTGTCTGCTCATTTTGGGGAAAGGGTGAGAATTTCTTCACTTGTTAGTCTAGCTTTGTCTTGGTGCGTGCAAATGCATCGAGTTGTATTTTTGTATGAAAGTTCAAATTTGGCAAATGGTTCATATTGAAGTTGAGTAGCCTAGGGTGTGGTCTGTTCCCGTGATCAATTTATTGCCTGTTGGTTCCAAATCTATCTCATATTTGCCCTGCTTTGTGATATGGAGCTTGACCCCCCCCCCTGAAGTTTCTGTGCCATCTGGCACAATGTTGTCAGCCTTTGCACTGCAGGGGGCGCTGTAGGACCTAGCAGAGGAAACGGGCTTAGTGCTGGCCCTTCTTGTTCTTCTTTAATATGTTTTTGTTGATTTCAGAGAGAGGAAGGGAGAGGGAGAGAGAGAGAAACATCAATGACGAGAATCATTGATCGGCTGCCTCCTGCACAACCCCTGCCGGGGATGGAGGCCACAACCCGGGCATGTGCCCTGACTGGGAATCAAACCACGATCTCCTGGATCCTAGGCCGATGCTCAACTGCTGAACCACGCCCGGCCGGCTGCCAGCAGTCTGTTTTCCAGAGCATAGCTTCCCGGGGGTCTAAGCAGTACCCCAGTGGGAGGTTTCCTGCCTACCAGCCTTGTCACCTTTCAGGGGGTCATGGCCCCACCTTGACCAAGCTCTGAACCTGTCTTGTGGGGGGTTCTCTCCCAAATTTCTTCCTTTCTGCGCACTCTGTCTTAACTCTAGAGTTAGTGTCTGTTTTCCATATCTGCGACTTCTGTATTCCTTGGAGCTTTCTTTCACTTGTTTCAGTAGTTAACCACTAAAACTACGTTCGGTGAGTTAGTAATTGTTTTTATATAAAAATTTCCCAGTTCAGATTACTGATGTGGCTTCTGTTTCCTGACTGGACACTGAGTCTAAACATCTAAACCATAATGCAGCTTGGAGGAGGGAGTGGCACCGTTCCCAGAGTGTGGGGAAGGGTAGTTGGGGCATTTACAAATGCATTAAAATGGTTCACCCCAACAATAAGGTCATACAAATATACCCTACAGGGTCCTTGTGTGGATTTTAACTATGCTATATATTCATATATATATGTCATATCTATGTCCCCTTCCATTTAGCTTGTAGCTTTCTGACAGTATATTACTTTTGGATAGGCTATGGGCATACTTCCTTTGAAACAGACAAGGAAAGCATGTGTGTGATATGAATTATCCACACAATATAGGAGTAATTATTACTCCACTAAGTAGGAGTAATCTTTTTAAACAAGTGGACCAGCTGCCTAAGTAATTCCAGAAAGAATGATTAAGGTAATCATTATGGTAGAGTTTTGTCAGAATTGACTGACTTAAAAGTTACCTAGGTGTATATTTTGTATTGAGTTTATCTTGGAAGTTATAGTGGTCAAACTTGCAAAGTGTTTTTTTGAGCTTTTTATGATCATTGTTTAGGAAGGTATTTAATGACATAGGAAGTAGTTTTTTCTTGGCCGCTTTTATTGCATCCACACTCCACAGTATGGACCTTCTAAACGTTAATCTGCATTTGTTGTTGTGCTAGAGCGGAGCTCACTTTCTTCTCTAGGAGCCCCTTAGGGCCTCTCTTCAGATTTCATAAGTGGGTGCAAACTAGCCCACAGGCTGGCTCCACTTCCCTGACCACACAGAAGGGCTGCTGCAGGCCTTTGCTTCAGCAGTACTACCCACTCTCTGGAAGTTTTTGGAATTTAGTTTTTTACCATCTTTTAGTAACCCCTCAACTATTAGCCGTGAAATCTTTTCTTTATATTGTTAAGTAGAATGATTTAAAACCTGGAAATAGGCAAGAAGTTGGGTGTTTTCTGCTAATTACTAATTGTGTAAATTTACTAATTACTTACTAATTACTTACTAATTGAATAAATTCTTTAATTTTTGTATGACAGTCATGTTTATGATTATGAAAATTATAAAATATGATATTAATTTTAGAAATATAAGTTTTATAAAGAGAACCTTATGTATATTTTGAACTTTATTTTTATTGTTGATGCTGTTACATTTGTTCCCATTTCCCCCTTTGCCTACCTCCACCTGGCCCAGTCCACCTACCCTCTGGCCATCACCACACTGTTGTCTGTGTCCGTGGGTTATGCATATATGCATATAAGTTCTTTGATGAATCTCTCCCCACCCACTCCCCTTCCCCGCCTTCCCACTGAGACCCCTCAGTCTGTTCCATGCTTCTATGTCTCTGGATCTATTTTGTTCCTCAGTCTATTTTGTTTATTAGATTCCACATATGAGTGAGATCATGTAAAACTGAATCAGGAAGAATCAGAAAACCAGAATAGGCTAATAACTGATGAAATTGAAGCAGCATTAAAAAACTCCCAGCAAACAAAAGCCCTGGTCTGGATGACTTCACAGGGGAGCTTCCTAATTCTTTAAGTTGTAGGGTTAGATAGTTTACTAAAAATTTTTCTTGATTTTTGAGGTAGGCCTGTAGTACTATGAACTTTGCCCTCAGAACTGCTTTTGCTGTGTCCCATAGATTTTGGGTTGTTGTGTATTCATTTTCACTTGTTTCCAGGAAGTTTTTGATTTTTCTTGATGTCTTTGGTAACCCATTCATTGTTTAATAACATGCTATTTAGCCTCCATGTGTTTGAATGTTTTTGAGTGTTTTTACTGTAGTTGATTTCTAATTTCATG